GTACAGGGGCAGGATTGCAGGGTATACCCTTTGGTTAGCTGATGATGCATGGAGGGGACTGTAACCATGGCCATGAGATGATATATGATAGAATATAATATTAATGTTCTCCCATGTAAACTATCACATAATTCACAATGAAGCATTAAAAAAAACAAAAGAGGGAGCCTAGATCCAGAGGGGGTGACAGAAGGTAGAATCTACACTGGATAGTATCCAGCCTGTCTGGGTATGGCTGATGAAAGGAGATGGGGATAGGTCTCTTGTAATACAATCATGAATAATTATCAGAACTGATAGTGAGAGTTGGAAATGTAGATATTTTGTAGCAAAAGGAAGGGAGTGATTGACTTTGTAGACTAGGAGCGGAGGTCCCTGGGATCATCAAGGGAGAAGTATGACGAATGAGACCCTATCCAGAGAATCAATGATGTCTGAGATGGATGCAGAAAAGATGACGTGGAGAGATGGAGCAGCTGGGGACTTCAAACACAGAGAGGGAGAGGGTCTTGTGTGCTGAAGACCAGGGGGCAGGCTTGCTGGGTATACCCTTTGGTTGGTTGATGATGCATGGAGGGGATTGTAACCATGGCAATGAGATGAGATATGATAGGATGAATGTAAAACCAATGTTCTCCCATGTAAACGATCACATAATTCACAATAAAACATTTTTTAAAAACCTAAAAACTGATAATGGACCTGCTTATACGAGTGCGGCTTTTTCTCATTTTTGCTCCACGTACACAGGCCTCCCATACAATCCGCAGGGGCAAGTCTTTGTTGAACAAGCTAACCGGACTCTTAAAATCCTCTTACAAATAAAAAAAAGTGGAGATAGACCATATAAGCCTATAACTCACAATCTTTTGAACCATGCTCTTTTTATCTTAAATTTGTTCAATTGTGAATCGGAAGGGTCACGGCAGCAGAAAAACATCAAGGAATTAGATGTGGGGAATCACAAGGAAAGGTTCTCTGGAAGGATTTGCAAATGGGAGTCTGGCAGGGACCTGATCCGGTGCTAATGTGGAGGTTACACCTGTGTCTTTCCAGAAGGTGCCTCTCAACCAGTGTGGGTACCTGAGAGAGCGGTGAAGATATACCTTTCAAAAAACTGAAGGTAACGCCCACTGTGAGGACTGTGAGGGCACCACTTGGAGCCAGTTGAAAGCCCTGCCGAAAGAAGCTCAGAGTATGGTACCTGCCCAAGGAGCACCCCTTAATGTGAGCAATGTGTCCTCGTGGCCATGATGGCCATTCTCACCATTCAGGTGAGTACGGCGGTGGGAACACCTCAGACGTATTGGACTTATTTTCTGGACCCGCCTATGGCCCATCCGGTTACCTGGGATGCCCATGCACCAGGGCCTGTGTTCACTAATGTTACTGCCTTGATGGGTGGGCAGGATAATGGACATATTCCCCCTACTCTTCATTCCCCGCTTAATTATACGGGAGAGAGTGCCTTTTTGCCCATGTCTCTCTCCTAATGGGACATCCTTGTGCCTTGGTGCTGCTAAGATGGAAAACTCAGCATTGGTTCAAAATGCTTCTGGTCATTATCTGAATGAAATTGTATGTTTTTTTATTTCCTCAACTTCCAACAATACTCCTTGCCCTTCACAGTATTGCCGGAACACAAGCAACATGGTGGCAAACGAAGGCTTTGTCTCTTGGGTGGAGTACTGCACATCTCATGCTAACTGCACCACCCTACAAAATTTAACCTTATACAATTGGTCTGGCTCTAAAGAGAGTTATTCCAACTTTGTGACTGTAACTTCCAACGGGCATCAGCAGAGAGATTTATGGAGATTGGTTGCTGCCTTCAGAGAGATCAATCAAACCAGTGCAAGCCTGTAAGTTCTTGGGGGTGGGTGGGGGTGGGACATATATGCCTCTGTTCAGGCCCCAGATATACACGTAACTGGATCAGTCACTATCTCATATGCAGAGGAGCATTATAGTGTAACTTGTGTTTCATGTAACCTCTCTTCTTGTCTTACTTCTCTTAACCAGAAACACAGCGTGCTGATATTACAGCAAGCAAATAGATCACAACTTGGAAACAAAATTAAATGCACTAGAGGCCACCGTAATTGGCCTGGGAAATCAGGCTGAGACCCTCAAATACAGACAAGATATTCAATGCGAGGTCTCATTCTCCCATATCTGTGTAACGGCGCTGCCTTATATTACCTCTGATTGGGAGCAGAATAAAGTATCAAGTCACCTTCTCTGTATATGGCATCATGCAAATATAAGTTTGGATTTAAGAGAACTTCATAAACAGAACATAGTTTTACAAAACAATAAAAATGAGGTCTTGGCCCGCAAGGTCCCACCTCCATGCCAACCTCTACATATCCTAGTCACAGCATCTTTGAAAAACAGATTGGTATATGACACAGTATTCTCACTCAAAAGCATCGATACAAGAAAAAGGAAACTTTAGATTCACATCAAAGCCTGTGCAGAAGTGTATACAATTGTTTTATTCCCCCAGAAGTAAACAAGAACACTGTTCCATTGGTAAACACACAAATTCTGAGTATAGCATTCAATACTTCATGCAGTAATATCAAGAACAAGCTGATGATATTCATCCAAAGGAATTGAAAGCCCATTAGCTAAAGAAATGACCCAAACCTAAAAGCAGAGACTGTTACCCGGACTCCACAATGAAGGGAGGAGTTGAGGTAAAAAGTGCAGCATTAGAATTATTTGGTGGGAAGTGTCATTCTGTGTTTCCATTGTGACACTAATTCTATGAATTGTTCTATTGGTCAAAATTATACGGCTTTTCAAAAAAATAGATTAACAATATAAATTAAAACATATATATATATATATATATATACATATACACACACACAAGAAATGTTCTTAGAACTGAAAAGTAGGGAGAAACAAATATCTATAGAAATGACATATACTTGTTCTTTCTGGTGAATCTTCTTACATATTTCTGTAAGTTTATTTCTTCCAAAGGACTGAAGGGAGAAATGACGAATTTCCTTCTTTCGTTTATTCATGGGGCCTCAACCCACAGTGAGTTGTTACATGTTTGGCTAATGTTGACACAGGAATTACAACATGCATTAGATACCCAAGGCCTCTTTCTACTGCGAGAGTTTTTTATATGCCATTTGAGCTTTGAAGATAAAGCAAAGGCTACTCCCCACATTCCTTATAATGATAAGGCTTCTACACTAAGAGATTTCGTATGTGCAGTGAGGTGTGAGGACTGACTGAAGCCTTTATTCACCATATACCTTACATTTATACTGTTTCTACTGTGTGTTCTGATATGAGGAGGAAGACGTGGGGACCAGATGCGGCTTTACAGCACTTGCCTTCCTAAGGCCTCTCTCCATTATGAGATGTCATGTGTGCCCTGAGGTCTGAGGAGCGAGGGAACAACTTTCCCATATTCGTTACAACTATGAGGCTGCTCTTCACTTTACGTGCAGTGAGGGTTGTGAGTAGACCAGACTCTTTACCACATTCCCTACATTCATAAGAACTGCTTCCTCCGTGAGGTCTTACAGAGACACTGAAGCTTGTGGACACAGTAGTAAAGATACTCCCACATTCATCAGACTTCTCTGCACTGTTTTTTTTATGTACAGTGAGGTGTGGGGACTGCAAAAAAGTTTTCCATTCCTCACATTCATAAGGTCTCTCCCCACCATGCTATCTTTTATGCATAAGGGCTGAGAAGTGACGATAGGCTTTCCTCGTCATTCCGTATCAAGGTTTCCTTCCACTGTGGGTTTTTTTTTTATGTACACTGAGGCCTGCAATGTATTTGAAGGCTTTCCCACAGTCCTTACACTGATAAGGCTTCTCTCCACTGTGTGTTCTTTTATGCTGAGCGAGAAGACTGCTAACATGGAAGGCTTTCCCACATTCCTTACACCTATATGGCCTTACTCCACTGTGAGACCTTTTATGTTCAGTGAGCCGTGAGGTACAAATAAAGGCTTTCCCACATTCCTTACATTCATAAGGCCTCTCTCCACTGTGGTATCGTTTATGTACAACGAGGCCTGAGGAGTGACGAAAAGCTTTTCCACAGTCATTACACTCATAAGGCTTCTCTCCACTGTGTGTTTTTTTATGTACTTTGAGGCCTGAGGCCTGAGTGAAGGCTTTCCCACATTCCTTACACTCATAAGACTTCTCTCTACTGTGTGTTTTTTTATGTTCAGTGAGCTGTCTGTGAATATAGTAAGCCTTCCCACATTCCTTACATCTATACGACCTTATTCCACTGTGAGATCGTGTATGTTCAGTGAGCCGCGAGGAACAACTAAAGGCTTTTCCACAGTCTTTACATTCAAAAGGTTTCTCTCCAGTGTGAGATCTTATATGGACAGTTAGGCTGCTAGAACGAGCAAAAGCTTTCCCACATTTCTCACACTGATACGGCTTCACTCCACTGTGACATCGTGTATGTTCAGTAAGTTGTGAAGAACCACTAAAGGATTTCCCACAGTCTTTACATTCAAAAGGCCTCTCTCCAGTGTGAGACCTTTTATGGACAGTTAGGCTACCAGAACGGGCAAAAGCTTTCCCACACTCCTTACATTCATGAGGCTTCACAGCACTGTGAGATCTTATGTGCTTCGTTAGGCTGTTGGATCGAGTATACGCTTTCCCACATTTCTTACATCCATATGGCTTCTCTCCACGGTGAGATCTTATATGTTCAATGAGCTTTGAGGAACAACTAAAGGCTTTCCCACATTCATTACATTCAAGAGGTTTTTTCCCACTGTGAGTTCTTATATGTTCAGCAAAGGCCATAGCATAACTAAAGGCTTTCCCACAACCCTTACATTCAAAAGGTTTCTCTGTACTGTGACAACTTACATGGTGAATTAGTGATGAGTGTAGACTGAAGGCTTTCCCACATACTTTACATTCATAAGGTCTATCACCACTATGAATTCTCATAAGTTTAGTGAGGGATGAAAAACAACCCTTACATTTACAAAGCTTCCCCCCACTAACTATTTTTGAATGATATTTTATGTCAGAAGGACAACCAGTCGTTGCTCTATGTTCAGTATCTTGGTATGGTTTGTATTTAGTGTGAGAAATGATACAACAATTAAAGGTAGAATTACCACCTTCATGAAAGTCAAAAGGATGCACTCCTACACGAGTTCCTTTGAGCCTAGTACGATTTTCATAACAGCATGTAATTTTTTTACACTGATAACATTCACACTTCTTTACATTATCTTCTTTATTTTCACAGAGGCACACTACTGTGTAGTTTCTGTTGAAAGCAGAGAGGATATTGTTAGAATTATGTTTTGGACCAATTCAAAATTACCATATACATTGAATGTGCATTCTTTGCCCAGTGTTATCTCAAGTTGCATAGGGTCAATCATCACATAGAAGGTACTAGCATTACTGTCACTGTCTTTCCAAATAGACTTTCTGGTACTGTGTCTAAGTGAAGATGTCTCAGAGATTCAATACCCAATTGACCTTTATGGAAAAATACCCAGTTATGAGGATTAGGTGAGTACACACATGGACAGCTACTTCTCTGCATTCACACACACATGAACACATATGTAGTGGCATGCTGATGGACTCTTCATGGGTAAGATACCTGATACGTCCATCCTGGTTGCTGTGATGATTTTCACTGCCACGAAACACATAGATTTTCCTCGACGTGGACCACCAAGGGTCATTTTTCATCAACTGCAACAGCACAAGTTCACTGGACAGCTTCTGTCCATTCTTATCCTGCTGAGAGACTGAACCAAAAATTAGGAATGGATTTCCAAAACATAAAACAGGAAGGAAATTTGATGAGGATCAAGGTACCTGAAGGAAAGAAACGTTGAAGTATTCGGTTATTTATGGAGTTTCATAAAGGCCAAAAGGTAAGAAATTCACTGAGAAAGACTTCCACGATGACCAAGACTAATGGTGACTAAACTAAGATGTAACCATCTGAGGGCAAATTTCCAAGGTACTGCGATACAATGCTTGAGTGCAAGGCAACATTAAAAGAATTAATGGGGAAAGCTTTTCCCCCGCAAACACAGGTCATGACAGAATTGAAATTTTTAAAATTCTGCTCAGATGTAAGTTCAGCTACTCAGACGCCTTTGGTTTCCCAGCACAGAGGCTCCTGGGAAGTCCTATCAATCTCCACTCCCTTTCGGTCTTTCCCTTCCTTCAGAGGTAGAAAGTTAGTCTGATTGAAATGGTGCTTATCAAGAAAGGCAGATAAACAAACAAACAAACAAATAAAGGCAGACCATGAGAACAGATAAGAGACAATTTCATTGATGTTGGGCTATTCCTTTGGTTTCCAGGGTCTCAGGAGATGGTGAGAGTGAGTTAGTTAATACAGCCTTCTAGCCCTAGTCCTCAATACAGTGCTATCATGTAAATCCCAGCTTCTATGCCTGTGTTTAGGCTTCATTTTGGAGTGAGTTGTCCATTACGTTAATGAGACAGGATTAAGGAAGGACTTCTATCACTATAGTGACTGACTCCAGTGACCACCTTTATTTTCCTTGAGATGTGTTCTGTATTCAATGTAAAGACACTTTTGCAGCATCCAATGAATAGGAATGTTCACTATGTTCCAAAGTTGGCTCATCGTGAACTCATCTCTGGTTTTTGGGACTTTCAACAGTAGCCTAATATCTGACTCGATTCACTAGCTTTTACGATTTTATGAGTAAACAGCCTGTTGTGTGACCTGCCCTGAGTGAGGCATTGGGCACATGGAGTTGGGATTACTCAGGCCACCAAATCGCATGAGTCCGTTCCTGACAGTTTGTAACTTCTACAGGAAATTGTAGCAAATTAAGAAAGTTTAACACACGAAAGAGAATACTGAGGGAAGGAGGAGGAATTGATATCGCAGATGATGGAGTAGTACTAAAGTTTTTGAAAATCTGGACATTTGGGACTTCTTCCGTCTTCCCATCATTGTTTACCATTGTTAAGTGCTGTTGAGTTGGTTCCAACTCATAGCAACCTTATACTGGTTTTCTGAAGATTGGCTGGTAAGCTCAAATCATCGGCCTTGCCGTTCAAACCAACCTGTGGTCTTGGTGCCTATCCTACAGCAACACAGCAGAATGTAGAGGCCAACTTTATTTTCACCCCTATGCAGAAGGGCAGTTGTCAGCTTCACTGCATAAAAATAATCGTGTCATATTCGTAATATGCACAATGAAACTCTACTGAAGTCCTAAACCAGATCTATCTTTGCTATTGTGTAAATAGAAATCTGACCCTCATAACCAATATTTACACTTACAACACTTAAAGAACCTCAGAGCTTTCAGCACAAGAGAATTAAAGAGACAGTTTGACCCATAAGATGTTTACTTTCATCAGGAATCTGCAAGAGTCTAAGATCCATGAGGTCAGTGAAACCATCTGTCCCAAGTCTCAAAGTCTTCCCATTCCTGAAGAAAAATTTTATATGTTAAAGAAAACAATATATTCAAAGTCAAAAGAAGAAAATTTAAAAAATGAAAGCAACTTTACCTGAGTCTAGGTAATCCAAGGTTTCCAACATGACATCTCTGTAAAGTTTCCTCTGAGAAAAATTCAGCAAAGCCCACTCTTCATGGGTAAATTTGACGGCCACATCCGCATATACCACCGAGTCCTAAAACATCACAAATATTCTGCATAATCCCTAATGTATGCAAAAGTATGTTTGACACTAACAGCCCAAGAAAACGTGGGAAATTTACACACAGACAACAGAAAGTTAGACGTGAGACTTGTCTTTTCCTGTGTGCATTGACCTCTGGACTGGTAGTATCTTACTTATAACATTGTTGTTGTTGTTAAGTGCCATCAAGTTGGTTCCGACCCATAGCGACCCTGTACAGGGTTTCCGAGGGTGTAAATCTTTACGGGAGTAGAAAGCGTCATCTTTCTCCCGCGGAGCGGCTGGTAGTTTCAAACCACTGACCTTAAGGTTCGCAGCCTGATTCGTAACCACTACGCTACTTATTTCTCCAACTTCACCAGCTGTTCCTTGAAAACCCTCAAGGTCATTATGAGTCAGAACTGACTGACCCGATGGCACTTCCACAAGAACAATTCCACTCTTACTGCCCAGTACAGGGGTAATTTACAAAGCATGACCACTAGGAGAGCTGGTGTGGCGCTGTGGTATAAAGCACGACAAGACAAAGTCAGCTGTAAACACAAGTTCAGTGGTTCAAACTCACCACGTGCTCCTTGGAAACCCTATACAAGGTCACCATGAGTCGTAACTGACTCAAGGGGAGGTAACAACGACTAGACTTTAAGTTCATACATGTTGCTGTTAAGTGCCTTCAGGTCATTTCTGACTCTTAGCGACCCAACGAGAAGCTAATGAGTATGAACCGCCAACCTTGCAGTTCAAACCGACACTGAGGCTGAGTGCTTACCCTATGGCACCACATACATAGGTTTAATCTAGAGAGAGCAGGTTTAAACATGTCTCTGATAAGTAGACACTTTCAGACAATTTCCCTCATTGATACACCTGTTTTACTTGTTTGTGTGTGTGTGTGTATGTGCAATGAGTGGACCCGGATAAAGTTGGAGAACATATGAAGGGAAATTCAAAATTATTTAAAAAAAAAAGAGTGGTGGAACCTGAGACAAAGACCCTCGACCACCATTCAGGTCTGGAAAGGAACACACGCTCGTGGCCCAATCTTCAGCCAAACAGTAGTTAGGTTTATACAGAGGTACGAGACTAATAAGGCATGCTCACTATGGAATAATGGTCAATCATTCAGGATCAAAAGGGCAGCATTTCTCTAAGAACATTGTGAAGGGATGGGAAGGCAGGCGAAATGTAAATACAAACCACGAGGAGGAGGCCTCGGCGGGAGGGATCACTGCTGCTGCATGTTGTTGTTGTTGTTGTGAAGTGTCGTCGAGTCGATTCCAACCCATAGCGACCCTGTATAGGGTTTCCCAGAAGCAGCTGGTGAGTTTGAACCGCCGACCTTGCAGTTCAAACAGCTTTGCAGTCTGGTGCATTAACCCACAGCGCCACACCAGGACTCCTTGTTGCATGTTGTTGTTGTTATGTGCCGTGGAGTCGGATTCCGACTCATAGCAACCCTGTACAGGGTTTCCGAGGCTGTAAATCTTTACGGGAGCAGAAAGCTTCATCTTTCTCCCGCGGAGCGGCTGGCAGTTTCGAACTGTTAACCTTGCGGTTCACAGCTCGATTCGTAACCACTACGCTACCAGAGCTCCTTTTGTTGCATGTAGAGGACTATAATTATTGAGATAAAACAAAACGTGTGATTGTTAAATGCAAAGCTGATAATCTTGTCTGTACACCTTCACTCAATTTACAGTAAAAAGCTAAAATCGAAATAAAAAAGCAAGCTGTAGGTGGATTTGTGTACATTACTGTGGATGCCGTAACAGTTTTGTTGCTGTTGTTGTTAGGTGGCGTTGAGTCAGTACCGACACAGAGCCACGCTATGCAGAACAGAACGAGACACTGCCCGGTCTTGGGACAACCTCACAATCATTGCTAAGCCTGAGCCCACGGCTGCTGCCACTGCGTCAATCCAGCTCGCAGGGGGATTTGCCTCTTTTTCCATTTGTATTCCATCAGTTCTGACGCCTAGTTTTTTGCCAGTGACATCAATGCACTTTGGACTTCATCCTCCAGAATCGTTGGTTTCTGATCATATACTACGTGTTGAAATGGTACAACATTGACTACTTCTTTTTGGTAAAGTGACTCTGTGTATTCCTTCCATCTTCTTTATTTTTTTTTAATG